ATGATATGATATGATACGACACATCCGAATGGAGTTCCCGAAGAAGCAATTGGCGCGCGTACATTGGATTAGATTTCTACTCCCGCAGTTGCGAAATACATATGGCGTAACTACGGGCAGGCTCTAAAAATGGACCTCATTATCTAATTGTTAACCATTCTGGTTATCCTACATACACTTATGTACGTACTGTACAATGTATGTATATGTAGAGATCCGACTCATACAGATTATTACCTAAGTACACATCATGCAAGCATCGTCAACCTGCAAGACTGCAAGCACAGTGGCAAACCTGCACCCCGGGCAGAACCCGAGGAGCCAAGACGGAGGTACATTCAGATGTTACAGCGGTATCTGCACTAATGATGCAGGAGGACGCCACAGAGGGAGGGGAAGATGGACAGGTGGTCATGAATGAATATGACAGGATGACAGGTCCACGGAGATCGAATTGACGAACCAACTAATCTCAGGGGTGAAGGAGCCGAGTTTTATTCTTCATTCTCCAGAACGATTGTTATCATTAAAGAAAGGGTTACGGAGTATGGAGGTGGAGATGGGAGTATCCGTGGGCTAATATTAGGTAGACTACTCCGTACTTAATCCAAAGAGAAAGGGGAGAGATGAGAAGGGATGAATAATCGAATGTCAGAAAAAGTGGACAAGAATCAAAACACAAATAATATAACAATATAAAATGAATAAAATAATATGGACGAACAGGGATTAAAACCGGTTTTCCCCTGATTGAAGGGATCCGCTCTCACTGGTTCGGAGGTCTGCCGGATTGACATTTCCTTCCTTCATGCCAGACATCTCTAGTCTGAAATGTCTTCACCTTCAATAATGCATCCTTTGTACCTTCATACTTTAACTTCATAGGGAGAAGGAGTCCTCGCGCGTTATGTAGGACGGGTAGTTTTGATTGCCTACATATCTAGGGCAGTGAGAGTGTTCCCTCCATTCCAAGGAGGACGGGAGGATCGGGAATGTCTCATCGCGACAACTGACAGGCGATCCGCATGCCGGGAGCAGATTCTACCCGAAAGGATTTGGATTTTCTTTTTCCTCATCCTCAGATCGTTAACTTTGACCCTACGGCCTACACCGAGTACACCCGCAGTTGGATACTGATTACTGAGTGCGGAAGAGATATCCATAAAACCAACCGAACGGGGTCGGCCGAGTACATGCTAAACCCCTTCATCCCCGGCCGTGCCTTCAATTGATTACCAGGATTCCTGAAGGATCGATGAAAATTGAACTGCTTCGTATATTCTTGATTCTTCACGGCGCCGAACCCCGAGCCGTTACGCTATTTCCTTCCCGGATTCCCTGTATGAAAAGTGGACGGTTGGATAAATCAGGAACGAACTACTGTACAGCGTACGCCGAGTAGATGCCGGCATTACTAGTCGCTTCGGTTTTCTCCATTTTCTGTCGCTTTTGGGGGCAGTCGCCAGACCGACTTTTCAAGGTCAATCAAGCAGGAATGAATATTCAATCAATTCGTCCTGCGTGCGGAGAAAAACCTAACTTTCGCAGAAGGGTTAAACGCAAAAACGATCAATAAGAAGAGACCGGAAAAATCCGAGCGAAAACGAAAGTGAAGAAGGTGTCCCCGGCCGAATCAAGTTGCCCCCTAATGCGCCTTGGAAACAATAGCCCGCCAAAGAAAATAATACACCTAGTGATCTTCAACGCCGGTGGAGTCTTTCAACGTCTTCCCGTCCAACCTCCGCCATCCAGCACTGCAAGAGTGCAAGACGAATGGAGAAAATGTCATAAATGTCATATCATCTTTACTTGGACACTTTTATCCACTTGGTTTTTCTTAGCTTTTTGTGTTCACTCCATTTCGCATTGGGGTTGTTGGTTTGCACGCTACGGATAATTTTTTTCTAGTTGGGGTTTTGGGAGGGTCTGGGATTTCCTCTTTTTTCCCCCCCGTTCGGCCGTTCTCAATTCCAATGACCATCCGCACTCCATCTGGATTAGTTAGTTCTCCGTACACCTGACTAATAGTAATAAACTGATATTCCAAGTGGAGGACGCTGGAAATGGATCAAAGTCAAGGTCTCACCTGACCCTGGACATGGCCAATCCGGGCACCTCGAAATGAAAGGTGGACGCCCGAGGGCCCCCGAAGAGTTTGCACTTTGCAGAGTAGTTACTGTACATATTACTTAACTAATAACTATACCCAGCTAACTCATTTGAGCACCAGCGCCGTACCTAACTGGGGCCGCCGGGTCTCCATTTTTCTTTCTTCCGAATGTCCACCTTAGGGTATCTCCGGAAGAGAGGTTATTGGTATTTGCTATCCGCCGCTAACTCGGTGGACAAGAGACATCGGAGGATGTTAGTCTTGGTCGTTGAGCAGAGATCTTGTCAACTTGCCCTCTTCTGCTCTAATGCTCATTCTATGTGGACATACGGTGTGCGCAGTATAAGCTCGCCAATTTTTAGCTACATAAGTGTGAAAACTGCAAATGGCTCCGTTGTGGGCCGTGACATTCTCCCAAACCCCATACGGACTACGCCTCTCAATTGCGGTGGGACCACGAGCGGTCGGTCTTTTTATAGTAGTTCCTTGACATCATGCCATTGATGCTTCCGAGAGGGTTAGGACTACGTACAGTACGTATGAGCTTGAGATCGAATGATTCTAGCATCAGGTATCCGTTCTCCGGTTAGACTGAGACTGGGGACCGGAGATTGGAGAGCTAGGCATTTGACGTTAGGTCTAGGGGTCTTGCCTAGCGTAACGGTTGTTATGCATTTATGCTCATTGTGGATTGTTTTATCCAGAAACGAGATGTCAAATCTAAGGTCTATACGTTGACGTCGGATCCCTTAACGCGCTTGTCATTCCTGTTCTTTGGACTGTCTGGTCTTGTACTCGACAGGAGACTACCAATGCCGTTCCCTAATTGTATATTCAATCAGAAATCGCCGGCATGCTTAGTTCGCAATGACATGGTCTCCATCAGATGAGTGTGACCTGCGCTACTAGGCAGCCAGGCAACGAGGCAACCAAACCCGCACATGCAGCCACATTCACCGTAGGCCAACATATTCACTCCCTAGGGGTCAAATCACCTCGAGTGTTATATCATAGCTCGTTGGCGTGGCCACACAAACCACTACTCGAGCACATTGGTATAAATCCGTGCGCATCAAAATAGAGTAGTTTTTCGGTACTCGAGCACCTTGGAGTTAGGCCCTTGGGAATTGAAACAGGACAGTGTCTTAGTATTTATGATACATACCTCCTACGTACGTATGTACATACTAGAGCTGAATCTTGTTCGAAGAGTTTGTCCTAGACAGATCAGCCCAGACACATCCATCCATTCCCCCTACAAGCGGTGCTCTTATCCTTCAATCTCTGTTATGGAAAGGGCTCGAAGGCAGAAATATAATGGTAAGTATAGTTTGAACTTCCTGTAGCCAATGGTAGTTTAACGTAGGTGGAGGAAGGATAAATCCACAAAGCGATTGCCTGAGGCCAAAAACTTACACATTACTACTGCTGTGCGGTTTACAAAGCCTTGTTGTCTTTATGCATGATGAACTGTTCGACGACTGTCATTTCCTCGCTGCGAACATGTCCAGCGCCTCAGTAATAATGTTCATAAGTGCAGGCTTCCCACTTCCTCGCTCGTTATTAACTTCCCCATATTTTCTTATCATTTTTTAGTGTTGAAAAGGATGGAATGTATTGAAGCATGTGTGAACGGCGTGTTTCGAAGGTTGAGGAAGAGCAAAAAATCAGTGAATGCAGAGTCATCTGGTCTTACGCCAACGAGCCCCGAAGAAGCGCCCCTGCCCGCTATGGCGGTTCTTGCCTGACCCAGTGAATAGTACCAGTACGCAGTTGCTAGTCGAGTCTTTCACGACCTCCAAGTCGCCAACAACTTCGATCGCACCTACTCAAACAGCGATTATGTCGCCAATGGATCGCGAGACTCAGGTGGACCCCTGGACCCGGGCCTTTGAACTGTTCCAAGAGAAGAAACATACCTAATCAGGAGGTCGTGACAGCATACACAGATCATCTAGGCTTTGTACGAAGCGATGGCGATGCTGGACCGGATCTTTCGAGCAAATTTTCTGTCGAAGCCGCCGTGAAGAAACTTCTGGAGGACCGAGATAAATGGCAGTGGAGGATCACAATCATGGACCGCGATATTAAGATACGATCACAACTTGAGAAGCTGACGAAATTTCTCAAGTGGCCTGATCCGGTCGTGGAAACTGCTGTCAGTGAGCAACCATATGCAGCACTCGTATGGTCCGGTGTATCCTTACTCCTGCCTGTAAGTCACCCTGTCCTTCCTTCTCTGCAAGCCCTGGCGGACCTCGAAAGCTCTTAACCAGTGGCGTCACACAAAATGCAGATATGCTAGAGGGTTTTAACAACACCGGGGACCTCCAGGTGTATTGGCAATTTTGGGAGCAAGAATATCTTGACCCCAAGCATCGACAGCATTACCAGCCTCTTATTGAGCCTTTGACCAAGCTCTATTCATAAATAATTGAATACCACGCTCTCAAGTCATACGCCATCTGGCCAGTAGCCAAACCTCCCGTGCATGGATGGATATTGTAGAAAATCCAGATGCCTCAGGCAATCCGCCAAACCTTCGCTAAAGGCAAGTTCCGGATATCTTCATATAAAGCGGAAAGTTCTATAACATCGACCATAAAAATCACGTAGAATTAAATATAAAAGGGCCTATATTAACCCATAGTTAGTTGATTAAGCAGTCATTCTTGACCACTTCGGCATACCCCTGGCATTCAAATATTCTACAGATATAAAAGGGTCAGCTGGCTGGTCTGAACTTACGAAAAAGATCAACAAGTTAGACGAGTCCTGCCGCAATTGCTTCATTCTTATCGGTCAACGGTCTGAAAGTTGGACAAACATGGAAAGTCAGCTACAAGTACTCCATCAATCATGCGTCACTGGTGAAGGAATTCTCCATCACATGAAAGACAAAGAGGAAACAAGTTTACTTAATGACTTAGCCCGTACTGCTGGTGATTACATGCGATACAAGGACATCAATCCGAAAGAGTTCCTAGAACCTGTGAGTGGTTCCTGAAGGATCAGCGATTCTCTGAGTGGCGCAGTAGTAGCTCAGGTCTTCTCTGGGTCTCTGCGGGCCCTGGGCGTGGCAAGTCCGTCTTGTCAAAGACACTGGTTGACGAAGGACATCTGAATCTTACTACGGTTACCATTACACCATATTCCATGGTATATAGCCCACAATCCGCAGTGGCTTACTTCTTTTTCAAAGAAGGTGAAGGTGGGAAGACGGATGGTGCCCGTGCACTATGTGCACTACTACACCAAATCTTTACCATTTCATCCACCTCAAGCGCAATCCGACATGCCCTTCCAGCCCACAAAGCAAATGGTGAAACTTTAACCATGAAGCCTTCCGAGCTATGGCAAATCCTAGTAGATTGCGCAACAGCTTCAGAGGGCAGCGAGATCATCTGCGTCCTGGATGCTCTGGATGAATGTGAAAAGAGTAGCAGAACTTGGATTCCAAAAACCCTGGGGAAGTTTTATTCCAACGAAGAGAAGCGGTCAACGTCAAAGCTCAAGTTCCTTATCACAAGTCGTCCCTATCAAGATGTGGAAGGCTCATTCGAGGGTTTCCCAAAGAACGCAGCATACATGCGCCTTGACGGCGATGAAAAATCAGACCAGATCCGTGAGGAAATAGATCTCGTCATCGACGCCGAAGTCGAAATCCTGACCAGAAAGTTCAATGATCAATCCAGTGCTGCTGAGAAGATTAAGACGCGACTCAAAAGCATGGAACATCGCACCTACCCTTGGCAATACCTAACACTCGGTTATATTGAGGAACAACCTGCTATGTATTCCAAAATATCATCTGTGGAAAAGCTACTGTCTCATTTGCTCAGTAACTAGCGTTGCTGATGCTTATGAAACCATGTTGAGTCGAAATGCCGATGAGCCAGCAAAGAAATTCCTTCTTCACCTTGTGCTCGCTGCTGAACGACCTCTTACTTTACTTGAAGCAAATATTGCGTTGACTCTCGCTCTTCAAGAGCAAAAAGTGGGATCACATGCAGACGTCATGGATGGAATCTGGTCACTTTCCGCTTTCGAGGCTGTCGTCAAGGAACCTTGCGGCCTCTTCATCAGCATACACGACTCAAAGCTCTCATTTATTCATCCGACAGCAAGGGAATTTCTTCTAACCAAGAGAGGAGATATGGGCTGGGGAGGCAGCTTCAACCTCCAGCAGTCTCACAGAGTGATGTTACAAGTGTGTCTCGATTACTTGTTTATCCCTGACATCGACGGACCTGGATACACTTTGACTACCATTCTCAGTGACGACAAGCCAGATGCATTTCTTGACTACTCAGCTAAATATTGGCCTTTGCATATGGTCAAGCATGGACTTGACCTCTCCGATAACAATCTGAATCGCGTGCGCATGCACTGTGAGCATGCATCCGTTCGTTGATCGTCTACTCCGTAGCGGAAACTGTAGGGTAAAGGAAGTCGAAGACACTGGTGGTGAATACAATGCAATGATTTGATTTTATGTACAACAGTAATGTATGGGTTCCCATATAAGACACATAGCCATGATTACATTAGGGGGCGGGGGCATCTATAATATTTCACTAACACAAGAATAAAAAAGAAGAGTCAAAAAGGAACTGCCACCAGCAGGACCAAGAGAAAAGCAAGAAGAAAAAAATGTAGAATACAGACTGGAAGAAGTCGAATGGGCATAACCAACCCTCGACCATTGTCCAGCCAGAAGAAAACCTTTCACTCACGTAAACTTGAGAAAAACCGGCCAAGCCATGCCCCAATGCTGCATCGGAGAAATGCTCTAAAATTGGTCGCGACGAAGGACGACCAATATCATGATGGTCATTCATTAAACAATGATAATAAAAAATGCTGGGACCCCCATATTGAAAACGGTGGGAAATGAGAATCAAGAATCATCGAGTCACCCACGTATCGTATCGCGCGGTGAGCTCTCCAAGAACGTCAACCATCGGTGGTATTTAACAACGGTATGAAAATGTTGGATCAAGCCGCGCCCTTTGCGAGTATGTCGATTGTGCGACGTTTCAACTCCAAACGGTATGCTCTATGCACAAGCCCAACTTCACGTTCCAAAGCGGTAAGCGCGCAGACTTAAGCCTTCCGAGAACGGGTGACGGGTCCGTTAGACCGGCCGGTAGACGAGGCGTTGCCGTTCGACTTGGCATTTCCGTTGGCAGTCTTTCCGTTGGCAGCCTTTCCGTTGCCCTTGGTGGGAGGAGGCACCTGGAACTTGGCCATATCGATGACAGCCTGGCGGCCAGTGTTGCTGCGGGGGCGGGCCCCCTTGGAAGCCTTGTTGTAGGTGGCGATGTAGAAAGAAATGAACAGGAAGAGGTAGGAGGTGATGATACCAATTCCGGCGAAAGCGGCGAACTCCTCACCGGCACACTTGCCCATGTTGGGAACCCAGGGGAAGTAGGTGGACGAGAAGTAGGTGTAGGAGGCGAAGTAAATGAAGCCTGTTCCGTCGCATTAGCTCAGATTCTCTCCCTCTTCGTAAGCGACTCAACTGCTTTACTTACCGACATCAATGATGAACTGGACGATCTGGAGACGGGTGATCCACTCCTTCCACCAGATGCGGATTCCACGGGCGCTTTGGAAGTAGTACCAGTACATGACGACGTGGACCAGCAGGTTGATGGTGATAGGAACCCAGGACACGGAAGTCAGACCGATCAGCTGAGTATAACACAGGAGGGCGGTGGCACCGTGGTGGTAGGTGTGGAGGAAGGTCAACGGCTTCTTCTTAAGGAAGAGAAAGACGGTGTCGATGAATTCGAGGTATTTGGTCAGGTAGTTCAACTATTGATTGTCGCATCAGCATGTTTGTCGGTTGTTTACCAGTATTTCTGGCGCACTCACATAATACAAGACGACGAGGGGCTGAGTCCATCCACCGTCATGGTCGCAAATGGCGAAGAAGATGCCATGCCTCCAGATGGTCGGCAGCAACTGCTCAATAAAGAGTGCCAGCAGAGTTGCGCTGATCGCAGTCAGGTAGAAGTTGTGGATCATGAACAAGGTGTTGAGTTTGAGAGCCGAGAAGTTCTTCATGACGGCGCGACCACCGAAGATGACCACATAGTAGGTGACGAGCATCGCCGCGGTGGAACGGATGTCGGACAGAGGCGTCTGACCCGCAACGAACTTGAATTCCTCGGCAGGGAAACCCACGACATACTCAAAAGCCTTGTTGAAAATGGGCCACAGGTGGATGCCGAAGGGCCGATCGATTGTCGGGAATGACACGTCTTGCAACAATTCAGCGGCCATGATGGACGGTAGAAATCAAACAGTTGATTTCAGAGGACTTGAAAGTTGTGCGATCGCACTGCGCTTTTCCGGTTGAGAGAAAAGCGAGACGTGGGCGAGTTGCCAATTCTTCTTCCTCTCTTATTTTTCCCCTTCCCTTTTTTTTTTCCTTCGGGGAGGATTGTGCTGACAGGGCCGACAAGGTTAAAGCCGGAAAGGGTGCAGACAATGGAAGGAACGACAAGAAGCGAAGAAAGACAGTAATGAAAAGGGGGGAAGAAGAAGGGAAGAAAGAAAGAAAAGGAAAAGGTTGAGAAGAAGAAGAAGAGGTCGGCTGGGATGGAAAGAAAAGAGAGACGAGAAGAGGTGGAGAGAGCGAGAGTTCGCAAGGAGGACGATCCGCGTCTCTTTTTTTGGTCCGGCACGTCCGCTGCGGCCCCCAATGCGGCCTAGTGCCTCGGTCGGCATAAAAGGGGTTCCCAGTTATCCGTCATTCCCTGATGTGTTCAGGCAGACACTATTCTGTCGGTCTTTGTTTGCAGCATAAGGCTTCCGTTTCGAATGTCCGGCGTCCTCCCTACATTCGATGCTCCTGCAAAGACCACAAATGCTAAATGCTCAAGCCAGGGATGCCGTCCAGGTGGTACAACTCAATTGCAGCCATTCTGACCAGGTTGGCCACTCAATTTTGGCTTTCACATGCTCAATTTCATCTGCCACGACGGGGTTTAATTTCGACCTGTCACCTCCCTCACCAATAAGAGGTCTTTGCCCGCCTGATTATCTCCCCAATTACAGGAACGTCGAATTTTTCGGATATTTATGGACCCTGGGTCGATCACTAATCGTGATCCCCAGGTTTCCTTCGAAGGATCATTTTCTCCGACCTCTCTGTCGACTACCATCTGAGGCTCTCCGGAGAATATCGTGCACTCAACACTAGGTATACGTAAAGAGCCATCCGATTGCCTGGTAACACGGCTCGGATCATGGTCCTCATCGCGATGGCTGTCCGACCTGAGACGAGACAACGTTGCTCCGATTGACACAGGGGCAGTCTACACCGTAGGATAAATCGCATACTTTGTGGTGGCTCAATACTTCAGGAACATCGGAGGTTATCATAAGGATGATGTGGGCCGGTGGATGGTTTGATTGGCGTTTCATTTGTGATGCGTTGACAACTACCTCGTACAGAGTAGGTAGTATATTTCCCCATCCGGTAGTTGGCTGTTCCCAGTTGTCTTGAAACGGTCGATGGTCTCAATTTTGGGCCTCTCTGATCAATGTAACCATAACAATCAATGTTTACACTTCAATCAATGAGAAACCGTACCGCAGGAATCCCGAACTCAATTTCTATAGATTTCATTGACTGCCGGGGCTGGCCTCGGCTTCGAGTAACCCGGGCTTGTACAACGACGCACAGACCAGATGTCCTACAGTAGACAATCGCAGACTGCAGGATGATCTGTATGAAGCCCTAATTGATCTTCCTCGATACTCATTCCGGAATGAAACATTTCTTGGTATTCATGTTCTTAAGCCGAGTGCAATTATATTTGACATCTTAGGTTTAAGGCGTACTGACTATCGAGGTTTCCTAATAATCACCGCAGACCTGGTTATCGTAGGTATAACCTAATGGGAACATCATGATCTTGCCTGGGACCGGAAGTTTATTTAGACCATTGTCAAGTTTTGCACGTATGCTAAGGGAAAGCCATATTTTATTGATGACTAGAGCGGCGGTTATATATATCCCACCTAACCGTGCCTTTTGAGACAGGTTCAGAGAGGGGAAATTAATCAATTGCAGCCAAAAAGCATCAGGAGACAGTCAACAGCCATGCTTTGTAGATACAAGAACAGCCCGAGTATTGTAACCTTACATGTCTTCGTAGAAGTACTAACTAGTACCTACTCCGTACCTCAAGCTTCGCGTGCATCTTCAAGCACTGTAGGATCGAATTGATGTCTGGAGTAATTTGCTGGAGGCCTAGTTTGAAAGGAAACGAGCACTGAGATTATTGTATTGCATTCGACATAAACATATGGAATGCGTGGAGATCAGATGGAGGAGAAGTCGAGCAAGTCTTGCTAAACAGGGCGTGGAGAAGTGATACCTGAGGCTGCTGATGCCTGGGTAAGGAATGACACCTCAGGCAGCAGCTGACTCCTCCACTTGGCCAATCAGACCCCCCGGGTTATCCGACTCAGCCTGGGCCAATCACGGGCGGGATATAGAAATCCTGAGGCTCCCTGCCGCAGCCTCAGGCATCCCCGTCGGGCGGGCACGGGAGTCACGGCCTGAGGCGCACTCGATGACGGGCGTGGCTGTGTGCCTGAGGCAGCAACGACCTCACACCACCCGCAAAAACCTAGCGCAGCCGGGCTTGTCCTCTGACTTCGACTTCGTCAACACCTCGTTCCCGTCCTCCCATCACGTCCGCTTAATTCCCACCTCCTCCACCCCCCTCCCAACTCACAATCCACCTCTCGCCATGTCGTCGATTTCCCTCTTCCGTATCGCCACCCGCGCCGTGCGCCCTTCCAGCTTCATCAGAACTCCTCAATTGCCCCGGTCCCGAGTGCAGGTCCCGACTGCTCTCGCTATCAACCGCCCCAGCTTCAGCACCACCACCCAGCGTCGCTCCGGCCACGAGGACGAGACGTACGAGGAATTCTCTGCTAGGTATGAACTTCTCCGCAATCGAGCCATTGGGATCTTGTGCGAGCGAGCTGGGGACATACGCGATTCCCCCGGTCGCAGGGGTCGTTTCTCTTGTCTTACCCTGCTCCGATCGAGAGTCACCTTACTCCTGATGCCGATTCCCGCCGTCTAGCTGGTCGAATTTTCCACTTACCTGTGTTCTCTTTTGATGATTAGATTCGAGAAGGAATTCGACAGCGTCCAGGATGTCTTCGAACTGCAGGTATGTTCGATCTACCTCGTCGTTTTCGCTTTCCGCACTGAAATCCCGACCTTTCCGTTTTGTCCACTGTCCGATCAAGCCTTGATAATCAGCCCACCCGCCATTGGCAGATGGAGGGCCCCCAACATCACGACCTATCTATAATACATCTTGACTATAGCAATTGAGACTAACGTTTTGTGCCTGGTATAGCGGAATCTGAACAACTGCTTCGCCTACGATCTCGTTCCCTCCATTGAGGTCCTCTCCGCCGCCTTGAAGGCCGCTCGCCGCGTCAACGACTTCCCTACCGCTGTTCGCATCTTCGAAGGTGCGATTGATCCCTGACACTCTCTACTCTCCCTCTATCCAACCCTCTCATCTCGTGAATCAAACCATAAACTCACCCATATCTACAAAAACAGGTGTCAAGGCCAAGGTCGAGACCAAGGAACAGTACAAGCAATACCTCGAGGAACTCGAGGCTCTGCGCCAGGAACTCGGCGTCGCTCTCCGGGAGGAGCTCTACCCCGAGGAGGCCTAAATCAGGGAATTAGACAAGAGAAAACCAAGGACTTCCAGAAAAAATTACCTCAACCCTATTGTTTTTTATAGTCCACCCTCCCTCCCACTTCCGCACCCCCGTACGGATCTTTTTGACCGCCGTTTGATTACAATATTTTTTTTTATGTCCCGTTGATAAGATAGGAAAGCTGTATACATACTATTTCTAGAATGCAGTTGGAATGAGGAAGCGAGTCTCTCTATTCGCCTTCGCCCGCGTTCTCGGTGGTGTTATTTTCTTTTCTTCTCTTCTTTTTTCATTTCTCGATGTTGTGTTTAAGTCATTTCCGTCATCATCCTGGACAGGTCAATTCGACTTCTTGGGTGGCTAAGGAAGGAGAGGAAGGAAGAAAGGGAAGGTAGGTGTTTGAAATAATAAGGGGGATAGGATAGGTGTGCACACGTGCTTTTTTCTTTCTTTTTCTATACCAGTGCTTTCTATAAATCTTTTTGTTTTGTGTGAGCATTTGTTTGTACTGTATTATTGGTGGTGATATAGTGAAAAAACAATAAGGGGTTTGATTTCTTTGCGATTGCTGTTATAATCTTGTCAGTAATGATTCTACATGATCCCTGCTCATGAGTATCTGTATCCATGGCTTACTTGCGGTGAGATCTATTGAGATGGAATATAAGAGTTGTCAAAACACGGAACAGGTGAACTCGTCCAATTCTATGTGCTTTTCACTCAAGAAATGGCCAGATTGGGATACAACGAAAAGGACAAAAAGAATAAAATATATAGATATACAATGCAAGGCCGGCCCAGCATCCCCTGAAAAAAGTTAAAGAAAAGAGAAAACATCATCACAAAGGTAAAACTATAGATAAGAAGATATTTACCACCGCCGAGGAAGAGGAAAAGAAAAGATATAGAAACCAAAGCCCCGGAAGAAAAAGAAAACGCCGTCACACAATAACAATTCAAAGTAGGTCATGACAACCGCACATCAGACAATGGACTTTAATCATCGTGGAAAACGGGAAATGAAAAAGGGTAGAGTAGAAGAAACATGGACATAGTGGTTCTTTAGGTCGACCTGCTCTCGAGACCAAAGCTCGAGAGCACTATGCATGTCCACCGCTAGAATCGAGACCTGTTGTGCTAAATGGAGGAATGATCGTGTAGATCCTGGTCTCTTGCCGCGGTCTCGTGGGCGCTCTCTTTTAATGCTTTCCAACATATTGGAAGTAGTTGGGCCGGCAATCCTCCTTGGCCAGCCAGGGCTCACCCTCGTAGAATTTGCCGGGAGTACATCCGGAGCACTTGGGCGAGTTGGGGCAGTTGAAGTAAGGAATGTGACGGTACCCGATGTCCCGGAACCTGCAGGGGAAAAGAAACAGGTTAGTTTTGTACAACGTCGACTTCGACGGACTGAATTTCACTTACCAGTGAACCTTGGACTTATCAGCGAAGAGACCCAGGGCGATCGAGTGGACGGGAGCATCGCCCCATCGTTCGTAGTAGAAACCACCCGAACGATCCAAGTAATCGAAGTAGGCCGAGTACTTCTCACCCCGGAAGAACTCCATGTCTCCGATTTCGAAGTTGGACCAGAAGTGACACGTAGAGTATCCATTGGCACCAGACGTGTGCTCCGGGCGCAATTGGTCATCCACCAGCCAATCCATCATGTTGTTATCGGACAGGTAGGTCGGGTTGGCGGCAAGAAATTCCTGCGTCTTGGGCCACAAGGTCGGGATACTTTCGGGGGCATCGAAGAGGTTGATGGTGAATCCGTAGGTGATGTTGCGATCTTCCACGAATCGGAAGACGTCATAGTCGACGTTGCAGAAGAACTGAACCTTGGGCTCGACACGCCAGTAGTAGCGATATTTCTCGAGCGCAGGGTGCTTGTAGAACATTCCACTGTTCCAACGGCACATGTTGTGGTAGGAGATCTTGTCGCTGTATTGGATACCCTTCTCCTTCAGCATTTCAGCCGATTCGCGGAAGAGATCCTTGTTGATGAAGTCGGGCATATCCCAATGCTCCTTGGGAACCTGCTCTGTTTCTGGGGTCAGACCAATATCCTGGTTTCACAAATCTGGAAGGCGCCGTACCGTATATGCATTTCGCCTTAGTTTCCGCCTGCGTCCGCCTCTTGAACTCCTGGGTGAACGGCTGGTCATTGAAGAAGATCCAAGGGTAGTTGAACTTGTTGTTCCATGTTCGCTCCAGATCACGCATGGTCGGGATGAGATCGTCGAGTTCTTCGTTTCGGACAAGGGAGATCAATGCCGCGTTGGTCCGGGCAGAGTTGGGACTATCGGGGGCATAGTCGTTGTCTTCAGCGCGCCATAACTTCCCTTCGGGTTCTCCGGTTGCTGCAACGGAATATTCAGTTAGCATCAACGGGCAGATCCTGCATGACAAGGAAGAGCAGTGAACAGCAATCACGGAAGATTGAACGGGGGAAACGAACGTTCTAGGAGAGGGTCGTTTTTTATGCCCTCATAAGGCTGAGACCCCTTAATGCTGATGGTAGAGGGGGCTTTGTTGACTTGGAAGACAAGGAAGAGGACCAGGATGATGCATGCTGCACCGAGCATGCGAATGGGTCTTGCGACAGCCATCTTTACCGTCAAAACCAGACAGAGGGGGACACGGGTCTGGGAGGAAGTTGACTGGGACTTTGACAGGAGAACCGGAGCGGCCAGACTTGGGATTACGGAGTTAATCGATTGCTTATTATGGGCGCCCGCCGCCTTCCCCCAACGGGCCTAGCGTGGGCGGCAGTAAATCGAGAGGGCATCAGTGCCGCGTCAACCTCCGTCGCATTAATACTCCTCGCTCTCTCGCTCTGCGCATCGCATGGATCATGGGGTGTTGGGCGACGGCTTTCGACCTGGTTTCTGTCTGATCCTCCCATTATGGCTGTTGCTGCCACCATAGGCACGCTGACGGATGAGCTGGTTGCGACCGTTGCGAAACTTGATACCAAGGTATCTAGACCTACTAAATACATTGTGAAACAATAAGATAGCTAATGACTTGTTGTAGGATACGCCGCGATTCAGAAATTTGAAGCGACGCGCTGAAGAGACGTTCAAATCCAACCATGCGCGCACGAATCAGTTTGCCGTTGCGAGTCAGCTCGATGGCCTGCAAGAGAAGTTCCAGGTTATCAATAAAGATGACCTGGCAGATGCTCTGCGGTTACGCCTGACCGAGCTGAATGAACACCGAAGCTCTTGGTCTCCAGAGTTTTTATCTCTGTTACTGCAGCTTGCAGACCGTCCGGCGCAGCTGTCGAGTCTAGATCGCATTGAGCAGCCGATGCTGGAACAGGACAAGTCGATTTCCTGGAATGACTTGGACGCCGCTGGATCAGCATTCTGTGACGAAGACATCTGGGAAACCGTTGATTTTGGTGCAGAATCTTCCGATGACGATCTACCGTCTGTGTCTAGCGCGGGTCACCCTTCGCGGAATCTACCCTCTACTTCTATAGCCCCGGACGAGGACTATGTCATCCCAGACGATATCTTCTCCCCATTAGATGACGAGGATTTGATCTTATCAATAAAAAGCGCACAATTCTGGAGAGATGAAAATAATCACAATGTTGAGAAACACCAAAAATACTCGTCTCGTGTCATAACCGAGCTCCAGGTTTTAAGAGAGGCCATCTTCATGCTTCAAGGACTCCCGACGTCGATATTCTGGCGGCTTGATGACAGTATCGAGGTGGATCGAAGGTACAAGCTGGCACAAGTGTCCGATGAAACGTTTTTACCATTATTACGAAACTTGTGTTCCATTGGGGCTCGAGTAGACATTCTCAGGCGATTCATCAGGCTTCCGCAGACTATTGCGCACTTGCAGACATTTCGTCGAGCCATTGAGGATTGTCTACATGATTTTGACGGGTATTTGTCGACTGTGCAATCCCAATATCTTTCGCAAAGTGCAAGCGTTGCTGTTAGCCTTCTGCAGTTATCCGAAAACGTCCATAGAGAGTCAAGGCTGCTGCTACTTTTGGCGGATATTGTTTCCAAACTCAAGCACAGCGGATCGGAAAATCCCGTTAGGTGCTTGGATCTACTATACGACCTGGTTTGCATGGCACAGGCCACAGGCTATGATGAATTTAGGTATCTGGCTAAAATGTTTTTCTCGTGCTTCGAGACGTATGCACGACCGATGAACCTTTGGATGGAGACAGGAGAGTTGAAGGACTCAATTGGTGGAACGCTTTTCATTCTTGACAATCGCAACGATAGCGATCTCCGGACACTTTGGCACGACTGGTACACTCTGGATGAGGCGTCACGGCTTTTAAGTGCCCCTAAGTTTATTCAACCACTTGCCCGCAAGATCTTCATTACAGGAAAGAGTACGGTGTTTCTACAACATTTGAATGTGTCGCACGATCAGGAGCACCAACGCGAGGGTCCGTTGACATTTGACGACGTCTTTCCGGAAGACGCGTCCTCGCTTTATCTGCCGTTTTCTGCCATGATTGAGTCTGCCTTTGGAAAACTGGTTAATAGGCAACATACTCTTAAATCGAGTTGGCTGCGACAGGAGCTTGATCAACAGTGCGGCCTGTGGGCCTCACTCGAGGCCCTGGAGCATATCTATCTCTGCAAAGACATGAGCGTCGTGGGGCCCGTGGACAACAAGATCTTCGAGCTTATCGACCGCGGCAAAGGTGCTTGGAATGACAGATACTTGCTCACTGATATAGCACAGAGTGCATTCAGCGCGTTACCTGAGATTGACCCGTCCAGGCTGATCGTTCGATCCAACAAAAATATCAACGACAAGCTCGGTCGCCATCGTTCCGTGAAGATCCTCGAAACCATCTCGTTCGATTACATCTTGCCCTGGCCCGTTGCAAACATCATCACAAAGGATGCCATTCTGGGGTACCGGCGCCTCTCCACATTTCTAATGCAGATCCGCAGGGCAATGTACATGATCCAAAAACAGCGCCTACAGTATTCCAGCGGACCAGATAAAATTTCTGGCAGCAGCACCAACCCCGTGGACTATGTTTTGCGGCATAATATGCTGTGGTTTTTGAATACTCTGTATGGCCATATGACGGGATTTGTTGTTTCCACGGCTGTCGCGTCACTGCGCAAGGCTCTAGACAAAGCCACCGACGTGGATGCCATGATCGCTGCCCATCGCGCACATATGGTCTCTTTAGAAGACCAGTGCCTTCTGTCCAAGAACTTGCATGCTCTCCATCAAGCCATCCTTACGCTGCTTGACCTGTGTGTAAGCTTTGCGGATCTCCAAGCTACCAAGCAAGGCGCATCACAAGCCACATCACAAGCCGAGTGGACCAAACCGTCGCGCCATGACGATGACGATGACGAGGATAGCGATGCTTCTGATGCGGACGAGGACGCGATGGCCACGTCCTTCCACGAACAACACTATAATGAACGGCTACATGATATCAAGAATCAATTTGACCGGCTCGTCAGCTTCATGACGGCCGGATTGAAGGGCGTTGGACGAGTAGATGGTCAGCTTAGCTGGGAGATCCTAGCAGAGAAGCTCGAATGGAGAAAGGCACGTTCGGGGTTGAACGGGGCTTGAGGCGCAGTTGCTGGGAATTTTGGGTTTGCATGACTTTTGATGAATCTATGTCACCCTTAGTGGGAATCTGTCTACATTTAATACCCCGATAGAAGCCACGGAGTTTTCTTCCTGTTTACGGAGTACTCAAAGCATAGTTAAATCATGTGTTCATAAGGCGATGAGTCAGCCCGATTAAGGTACGGTCCCACCGCGGCCAGTCGTGGACTTTCGTAGACTTTCCTAGTCCACTTCTTCCATCCACTTTCCTTCCCTGTGCTTTTTTCGCTCGCGGTTGGTTCTTGCGGAGCAGTCATCTCCGGTTAGTTCGTGCCTCCCCAACCGGATTGGAATCAATACTAATTAACTAGTTAACCTTGATATTCCCTTGCCTGCCTTCCTTCGTTCCCTGCGAGCAATTACCGTTTGGGGGCAAATTACGCGTTTTGGTTCTAGTCCCATCACGCTATCTTTTTTTTACTTTTTTTTTTTCTCTCTCACTTCATGCTAGTGGGGGCTGGCATGACATCTGATAGAAAAAAAACTCAATCATTGTGAACGACGCTCTTTTGATGATTTCCTTCCTCTCATCTCCCGGGTTTGAGAGATTGTATATCCCCTCATCCGACAAGGCTTCACCGTCACCGCCCATTCTGCTGCCATGTCTCAGCAGCACTCGGACCTGATTGTCGATGGTGATGCCCCGCCGCCATATGGAGAAGACACCAGGAGTACCACTGACTCACAGGACGATGCGGCTCTATTGGTGCGTATCAAACCCAGATCGATCTCCCGAGAGAGATGCTTATGACGCATGCTGACTGGTCACTTGCAGAGAACCATGGGCTACAAGCCCGTAAGTTTGATAAACTCTTACCTTAACCTAAATTAGAATGCGAAGCTCATGCAGGTCTAGGTCCTCCATCGGACTTATACATTGTTCGAGAATTTTGCGACCACGTTTGGTAGGTCGAATATGACCTGTCTGATCTGCAGTCTTCCGGATTCTAACGCGCCTTCTTAGCCGCTCTTTACTTCGTCGGAGGTGTTCGCGTTACTTTTAGTACCGGTATCGCTGCAGGTGGTAACCTGGCTTACTGGTTAGTGTTGATCTTGCAGTAACGAGATGCTTCAAAACTGACCATTCAACAGGACAAGTTACATCGTGACGGTGGTTTTCACCTTCATCACGGCCGCTGTGATTGCGGAAGTCTGTTCTGCCTCGCCATCCGCCGGCTCCATCTATCTCTGGGCTGCCGAAGCTGGCGGTCCTCGATATGGTCGGCTGCTTGGTTTCATCGTCGCCTGGTGGAGTACGACGGCATGGACGACATTCTGTGCGAGTAACACGCAATCGGCTGTCAACTACATGCTTTCGGTGAGCCATGTCTCACACCCGTGGTGTGATTGGGTTTATATTAACCAGGAATAGGAACTGACGGTTTTCAACGTCGATTTCCCAACTGACACATCGTCAGTCAAGTTTCGCGCGGTGCAATGGATTTGTACTGAGGTTCTGCTTGCATTGGCCGCGCTCCTCAACTTTATGCCGCGTATGTTGCCATCCGCTGGGATCTACCGTCCGTGTCACTAACTACCTCGTAGCCAGGTATTTCAAATGGGTGTTCTACTTATCGTCCATCATCGTTCTTTTGGACTTCTTCCTGAACGTCATCTGGCTCCCCATTGGTGTTGCTAACACATGGGGATTCCGGACCGCCGAAGAGGCTTTCATGTCCACCTACAACGGCACAGGGGCACCTCCAGGCTGGAACTGGTGTTTGTCCTACCTGGCCACAGCCGGTATCCTAATCGGATTCGACGCCTCGGGTCACGTCGCCGAAGAAACCAAGAACGCCTCCGTCACCGCAGCACGTGGCATCTTCTGGAGTACCGTCGCTAGTGGAATTGGTGGTCTGGCTACCATCATCTTATTCCTGTTCTGTGCCGTATGTGCCAATCTTGTTCCCACCCGCAAATAACCATTGCCAATGACATCACTAATCTGCCCTATAGCCTGACGCTGACACGCTCTTCTCCTTCGGCTCCCCTCAACCGTTCGTCCCTCTCTACGCTGTCGTCCTGGGCAAGGGCGGGCACATCTTTATGAATATCATCTGCGTCGTTGCCCTCTGGCTTGTAAATTCCTCTCCCCCTCTCCCCCATCTCAACACCATTAACAATCTACCAGAACACAGCTGTAGCCATCGTCGCCGCCTCCCGTCTCGTCTTCGCTGTCGCGCGTGACGGCGTCCTCCCCTTCTCCGGCTGGGTCTCGCGCGTCCACCACGGTCAGCCCCGGAACGCCGTGACCGTCGTTTGGGGCGTTGCGGCGCTAATCACCTGCACGCTGCTCCCCTCCGACGTGGCCTTCACGTCGCTGGTCTCCGCTGCGGGTGTGCCCAGCGCCGCCGCTTACGGGCTCATCTGTCTTGGCCGGCTCCTGTGCACGCCATCGCGCTTCCCCAAGCCCAAATGGAGTCTCGGAAGACTGAGCAAGCCGTTCCAGTTTATTGGTGTTTTCTGGAACGGATGGGTCGTGGCTGTTTTGTTCTCGCCATATGAGTGGCCTGTCACTGGGGCGAATTTGAATTGTAAGTTTTCCCTTCCCTTAGTTCCTTTGTCCTGTCTATCCCAGACCGTTTGATTATCACCTCTGAGAGAGAGAGAGAGAGAGAGAGAGAGAGAGAGAGAGAGAGAGAGAGAGAACAGATGCTAACCGCGGATCCGCGCATAAAAACAGACGCCCCAATCATCATGGCCGCAGTGACTATCTTCGCTATCATCTCCTACCTCGTCATGCCCGAGGAAGCCTGGCTCCCTCGCAACCGCATCTCGCATTTCATCGACAGCAAGGGCGTGACTGAGACCGTCGAAGAAGTCGACGTTGGCCAGAGACCGCTTACCTCGCCGTCTCCACCATCGGGAGATGCGCAGGACGGAAGTGGGACCGGAACTGCAAATGTCGACGCGAGTGGATCCAGCGCTGCTGTTGCTGATACTTCTGTTCCTGAGTTTGGAGAGAGGCGCAGGAAGGGCACTGCTGGGTTGAGCGGTGGTGGTGACGAATGATAAATTTATAAGTGAGTAGTTGGTAAGGTTATAGTACGTGCTATCAGAACAGCACTTGAAGTAGAGTATATAGTATACCCTCGTGGGGAAGGAAGGAGCCTAGAGTCGGTTATGATGGAGATGCTAAAGTGACCTGATGAAAAAAGGTGGCAATTGTGCAGTTCAATTTATTTCTGTATGTATGATAATGATATCTCGAGGATTGATCTTTTGGCATGATTTCCAAAACTACTCAGCAAAACTACTTAGTATTAGCGTCTCATGAGACTTCATTCAAGGAAGGTATCCATGTGTAATACCTCTCATAGACACATAGGCTGGGATGAGCCATTATTCTTGACCCCGTCCGCAAGTCATCTGACGTGATGGGAGCAGCAGCAGGACATATACGACGCGTTGCACTGCGCCACATCACTACCACCACGCGTTAGAGTCTGCCAGAGACCACGAACAGTATCTGATACCGCTTCCTAGTATCTGGTCCTCACTCGAAGTTCTCCTTCCCTCTTGACACTTTCTCGCACACAGAAAAGCAAAATATCTGCACGGATTTCCTAATCTGGGTCGAAAACATAAGCAATTATTTCACCTTTGCACATACATACCTACCATCGATCCCTCATCACCGCATCTTCCAGCTAACGAGAACATATGTACAGAACAGAAGCCATGGTACTTTACAATATCGAACCGAACAAGTTCTTCCCGGGCAGTCCGAGAATCCGCATGATGAAACTCAAAGCCAAAAGAAAAGAGCGAGGTTATGGAGAAGGTGGAAAAACTAGCGTATGAGGATAGAGACAACGTATTCGGCTGGATCAACCCGTTCGAGCGAAGAGCAAGCGACGAAGAACGGGATAAACATTTGAAGCGTCTACTAGGTGTACAGGAAATGGATCGCATACTACGGCAGATGGAAGACAGGGCTACGTTGTATTATCACAAAAGGGTAAGTAAACCAGTAAGCAGGCAATCCCAGCCTATGTATGAAGAATGTTCTGAATTTCGCTGAGCCCGGACTGAAACAGCTAGGGTTGCACCCCTGTGGTATGTTACCACTGAATGATAAGCAGCGGATGCGATCCTGGGATGAGAAAAACCTGTCACGCTATGGTGATGAGAGAGGCAAGGAATTGAGCTGCATCCCGGTATTGTTAGGCTCTAGGGAGTATGACTTTTCTATGGGAAGTAGGTTATGTTCTACAATCTATTCAACTGTGGCTTTCTGACTGAAGCAGCTAGGATGTATCTACTGCGACGGATGGTTTGATAACACAATCGTGTCAGAGCTGTGTATGACTGTTGCACGTAATCCTGTTAAAGGTCCGTGGGTAGAGTGAAGGGATGCAGCCACTCGATCAATGGATCTTTTCACTTCTATCCCTGCGAAGGAATTTCTTGATATATAGGCCAGTGCGGCTGGCATTGAAGGCAATCGGATTTATTCAATGTTATTTTACCTGAATCATAGCCGAAAGAAGGGGCATTTGGTCTACATAACACCAGTCGTAGGAATTAGGTATCCGTACGCTGACTCTTGATAATATGCAGGCCAGCAATGTCTCGATTTCATTGGGGACTATCATTTCCCCAGTCTTAATAAGGCCTATGTTCGCTGGTTCCTTGTATACCGTGCTACTAGTTTTCACCGAGAAAATCTCTAGCATATCTACAGTTCAAAAACTTTATCTAGAATATTATGACTCGAGGAAGTATCCTAGTCTACTCGACGGAAAACCTCTCATAGGTCGTGAAGGTAATATCAAAAATTCTATATCGTCTCTATAAATGCATAAATACAGATAGGTGCATGTGTATGGGTTATGTGCATAGACATCTGACAGATCGTAGACCAACAAAACATCTCATCTCAGAAGAAAGAGTGTAATCCAAGAATCCCATCCAAAAATCGAAAGTCTGTCTGTCAACCGATTCCAAATAGTAGTATT